AAGAGATACCCCCTTCTAACTTCACAATCATTCTGCCGTTCTACTCGTCCGAGGTAAGGTATGCCGTTGACGCTAGCTGGGCAACCACGTTCATTAATCCTTGCAAACCTAAAAAATCATTTCTGCATCACCATTTTTGTTTACTTAATAATCAACTTTAACGCTAAGTATCAAAATATAAATAAAATAGGTTAAATTACACTGTTTCTCACTAAACTTTAATATTTCTCCTATTCTGTTCACTCAACTTTTAATTGGTCTATTTTACAACTTTGTAGATTGCATTATTTTGCTCTCTTCACCGTTAAGCTTGTAACGCCGTTATGATGTAGCTTACCAGATAAGTTTTTAAATCGTTAAAAGTAAAAGTAAAAGTAAAAGACACATCATAAAGAAATTAAACAAAAATAATAAAAGAATTAGGATAAATAAAATTACCCATATTACGATTTACCCTTATTTCCCAAAAGCAAGAAAGATGGATTCTCAAAACTGATTTAGGGTTTCTACAAATTAAAGGATTTGGGGAAGGTTCCCCAAATTAAGGGATTTCTACAAATCTGATCTACCCTTATTTCCCAAAAGCACGTGAGATCACTTCCCGTAACGCGGCAGGACCATTGCTTCCCTCAACAGCCGGAGTTCATCCCTCCATGAACTGCGAACCAACGACGCAGCTAGAAGGTTTGGGAAATTAAACGACACCGCGATTGTCGTCACTTGAAAATAAATTCACTAATTACTAAAATAAATTAGAGTTAATTTTTAAACTCGATTTGAATTTGAAATTTTTTCAAGTCAAGTAATTTATAAAATTGCAACTCGAAGTCAATTTGAGTCGAATTTTTTCGAGTCAAATAAAATTAAAAATTTAATTTTTCGAGTTGAGTCGAATTTTTCTCACCACCAACTTCAAGAGCCAATCTCAGTCATTTGCAGCATTTATTTATTTTCTTATTACTCAAAAAATAAATTAAAAATCATAAATAAATGAAGTCGGTTAGCAATTGCTTGTAGGAAACCTTACACGTGGCACTTTTTTTAATTTAGTATACATCTGACGTGGTTGTTTATTATTAAAATATTCCATGCCATCAAGCTGCAAACTTTAAACTATTCCACGTCATAACGGTGTTATAAGTTTAATAGTAGAATCAGTAAAAAAAATACAATCTGTAAAATTTAGTAAGTAAAATAGACAAATTAAAAATTAGATGAGCAAAATAGGAAATAAAATAAAGTTTGGTGAGGAACTTTATAATTTACCTAATAAAATATAATCTTATACATGTTTTTTTAGTAAAATAGTGAGAAAATAATAAATATATATATATATATTTGAAGCCATGAAATAATTACATAAACAATCAATCGTGAACCGAGGCTCAACCCAATGCATGTCTCAGACGGGCTTTAGCTCAGGTAACATGTTTGAGGATCATTTCTAATTTTACATCATTTCAACTCTACTTGATTCCAGTTCAGGAAATTTCTATGAACCAAAATAGAGTCGTCCTAAAGCTTTTCAATGCCATTATCAATATGTGAATATGCTTTTTGGTTTGAATTTGCTGTCAAACTTTATTATTTACAGTACGTAAGAAAATATCATAAAGCAATATTATTTCTTGATATTTTCATGAAATTTGAAGAGCTCAAACGCTGTGGATGTAGAATTTTCCGAATTTTTTATTTCAAAGATTCCCAGGTTCAGTCATTATTTTTGTTTTGCTCTAACAAGTTTGTAAAAACCTGGATTTTATTGGTAGGACATTGCAGAGAGATCTGGACAGAGTTACATGTTAATGGAATTATTATGGATAAGTTGAAGAAGACAGATTCCCTATGCTAATATGCATTCAAACGAAAAATCATGCAGGATCTACTGGTTTCATATTTTGCCTCGTTCTATAAATAGCTGATTTTTTCCTCCTGAGAAATATAATCTGATTTCTCTCTAAGTCCATGTATGCATACATGGAGTTTGCAAGAAGAATGGATATGTTTCCTAATGTGTTGATAGTATATAAAATTTTGTTGACGGTACCGGTTACGGGCTTCTATTGAAAGAAGTTTTTCAAAATTGAAGCTCTTGAAATTCTATCTTCAAAGCACGATGACTCAAGATAGATTGAACGGATTAGCAATTCTAAGAATTGAAAGTCAATTTTTACAAAGTCTTGATTATTGTAAAATAATAGAGGTTTTTGCTTCAAAAAAATGCACGAAGGCGTCGTTTTAGGTGATATTTGTAGCCTTATAGGTTTTGATTTGTATTAATATTGATATTGTTTGACTATAATTTCTATTACATTTTTGTTTTAAAAAAATTATTTATGTTTTGTCTATTATAAGGTACAAGTATATGGGGCATAAAATTATTATCTCACCCAGGGCATAAAATTATTATCTCACCCAGGGCATTAGAACTCATTGGACCGACCCTGCGTGAACCACATGCAAGATGAGGAAATGTTAATACCCCAAGTGCCTCCTTACTTACCCAAAACCTTGAAACACCCTAGATCTCTCCCTAGATCCATTAACTATCTCTTCAAGGAACAACACCTTTTGTTCATCTTTATCGGCATTTTAATCGGCTCCACTTTCTTCATCCTCCAGCCGACTCTCTCTCGTTTAATCCCTTCTGAGACCCACCCCTCCATTCCCAGGTCTTTCTCCAAAGATGACCTCATTTCCCACACCGAAGATGTCACTAAAATGTTCAGTATCTTCAAGTTCAGAATGTTTCAAATAAATAAATAAAAACAAAAATTTAACATAATTATGAACACACTTATATCGGTCTAAGAAGTTTGATAGGGTAACCTATTGTTGAGATTTCCTATCACAATCAGCGATAGTGCTAGATCCTACAAACGAGAGAAACTATATCACTAACCTAATATAATGATTAATAAACTTTATTTAAACAATTTACGGGAACATACGAGTAACTCTCGAAGTACGTCAGCATAGTCTGAGCTCGATCCCTGCTCTACCTTCTCAATAATGGATAGCAAGGAGCTATCTAGCAGTTGCTTAGCCTTAATCTCATCAGCTAAGATTGGCTTAACCTATAACTCTACTAACAAACTGTCATCATCGCACAAACTCAACCTTACAAACAATACTCTCAGATCAGATACCACTTTACAGCTTAAGGCATCATCACCACATTGGCCTTACCCGGATGATACTCTATCTCACAATCATAGTCCTTCAAAAATTTCGACCAACGACATTGTCTCAAATTTATCTCTTTCTAAGTGAGCAGATTCTTTAGACTCTTAAGGTCAGTATAGATATATCACTTCTCACCATAAGGATAGTATATCCAGATTTTCAAGGCAAAGACCACAACAGGTAACTCCAAATTATGGGTGAGATAATTGTGCTCATACAACTTTAACTGACTGGACGCATAAGCTATAATATTCCTATCTCAGAACATATCCAGTCCATAGTGAGAAGCATCGTTGTATACTGAAAAATCATTCCTAGACTCAGGCTAAATCAACACTGGGGCTTTAGTCAGAACACTATTTAGTTTCTCAAAACTAGATTGTCGATCCTCAGACTAGAAAAATGAAACATCATTCCTCAACAACTTCGTTAGAGGAGCTGCAATAATGGAGAAACCCTCAACAAAACGACGGTAATAGCCAACTAATCCCAAGAAGCTACAAATCTCTAAGATGTTCTTAGGTTGCTCCTAATTAAGAATAACCTCTACTTTACTCGGGTCCACTCGAATACCCTCAGCAGATACGATATGTCCTAAAAAAGTCATCTCGTTGAGTTAGAATTCACACTTGCTTAACTTGGCACACAACTTATGCTCTCTCAAAGTCTATAGAATGATCCTTAATTGTACGTTTTTTCCAAATCTAACAAGAAATAAATAAAACACGTTATATCTTTAAAAATTTATCATAAAAGAAAAATTAACTTTTTATCCTTATGCTATATTTTATTGGCAAACTTTTTTAGATAATGATATTTAAAAAAATGGTTCAAATAGAGATCAGTTCAAATTATTTACTCGAATAGAGTATTTGTTACAGTAACACTAAATAACATGGAAGAGAGTGCGACATCTCCTAGAAGGGGTGCGACACCCAAGTCGCATGAAAAGGGGTGTGACACCCCCAATAATTTTTTTATTTTTTTAATTTCAAAAAAAATTATTGACTAATTAAGTACATCTATATTAAATTATGCCATGCTCATTAAGTACAATTATATCAAACTATGCCCTATGTAATTCATACCTTGACACTATAAGTTGCCAAAAAAATATATTTTTACAGCTATATATATATATATATATATGTAAGAATGAATCCAGGTATGGTTCAATATAATTATACCTATTGAACAAGGCATGATTCGATAGATGAACCTAAAAATATAAAATAATTATTAATTTAATTATAAAAGGCAAAGAATGAAAATTGTGGGGGTGTGGCACGCAAGGATTTAGGGGTGTCGCACCTCCTTCCGCCTAATTTTTTGTAGTATGTGTCACACCCTCTTTCTTCCATGCGATATAGTGTTTAATGCGATTTAATGTTTACTGTATTAATACTACACCTTATTCGAACAAATAATTCAATCCGAGCCAATTTTTTTCAACATCATTATCTAAAAAATTTACTCCGACTTTCCTTCCCACCAGCGACAAACTATAAAAATTAGTCAAGCGAGAAAAAGATATTAGTTGAGAACATGATAAAGCATCAATTATTGATTCAATCTACCAACAGATAACATCAAGGGAGAATCTTGTACAAATATATTTGAAATCAAACAACTCATACCAAAACAGAAAGCCTGGAGTCAAACAATGGAAAAATCTGTGACTCAGAAGCCATGAAATCATGCCCTTTAACACTCCGAAACAAATAAACAAGGGTCAATATTCAAAAGAAATAAAAAAGTAATGAACTCGAAAATGTGTTTGTCTAATCCCTCACAAACACTTGCATATTAGCTTCAAGAGATAAGACTACACAGAGACACTCTCAACACGTAGGTTCTATAGATAACAGATCACATATACCCAAAAGTACGGGTTTATCATCACGATTAATAAAAGTCCACGGAAAAACTTGGAAATTTAGCATCCTAATCATCCAAGTTCCCGTTCAACAACCTATAAACATTCAAGTATTTAGTTAGCACGGCTTTTAAGAACATCAAGACCCATCTCAGTTGGATCTGTTGCTTGCAATTCCACCTGAATCCCATCCAGTTCTCTCTTGAATCTGTCTTTGGAGCTAGCATAAATCATCTTGTTCCTGATCCTCGATGTATCGGGAGACCTTCATAGGAAAACAACATAGTAGGTGGAAAAAAAAATCAAAGAAACACGAGGTATTAAATAAGATTCAGGTGGTCAAGAAAATTGCAGTACCATGCAATGAAAAAGATTCTGCTCTTTGGGACGTTCTCAGCCGTTAGAAAATCAAAATCATACACGGCATATCGGCACTCATCAGCAGGAAGACATTTGGTAAAATCCTCATAGCTCTCGGTTGGCTCACCAAGCTTCTCAACAATGACTTGCTTCTGCTTCTCCTCAATTTTGAAAACAATGAATCGGTGGGTTCTTTTTGCCTTAAGCTCCAAAAACTTCAGCTTGCAGTCATCGCGCACAGCCATTCCCGATGCAGCATTGGCCTGAGGATTAAAATGATATCACATGCAAAACAAATATCTGAGTCAGTCCCAATGTTTAATAACATCAATAGCATACAAATGAAACATCGGCGACCATCCTAGAAAGGGATGAAAGGGAAAAAACGGAACTAAAGTGAAGAAAACATCAACTAGTCCTATACTCTATATCACCGTGTGTTGGTCCTAACAAAATGAACGATAAATAAAACAAAACAAAAGCCACACTTGTATTCTCTTTACACTAAAATCTAGCTTGACCTCTATCAACTGCCCCCTCGTTAGTATAACATCTCTTGTCGTAAAAAATCTCCTTAGGACTCAGGATCATATCTTATGTTGCCTTGAGAACATCCTAAATCAGCCGTTTGTGCCTAACAAAGGGACATCAAAGCTATTCTTTACTATCATAATCTAATGTTTGGTTAATTAAAATAAGATTCTTTTTTTTTCTTCAGTAATAGAAAAGAAATAAGAACAAACAGAAATACAAGGACCCAAATTACAAGTGCGGACAGATTGGATCAACATGCCAATATTTTAAACAATATCCAATCAGATTTCCTTTTTCTGGCTTCAGTAATGGTAACAATATACAAGGATCCAAATTATAAGTGCAGACAGATTAGATCGACATATAAATACATTAAACAGGTAAGCTGCGATGAAAAAGTAGTTAAAAGAGAGCCATCTAAAATAGATATTGAATCGTATTTGATTAACACAAAAATTAAGTAAAATCAAGCAGCTAAAGACGCTAGAATCTAGATCAGCGAGGATTCCGTTTCAGCACAAATTAAGCACATCTAATTTTATACAAATAAAATCATAAAATTCGACATCGCCAAACCACAAACTACAGATTTAAAGTTCTAAGATCTAGAAACTAATAAAAACAGTATATGCATTAAAAAAATTCCACAAATTTCCAATCATAGATAAAGAGATCAACTAACCGATCGAAACACAAATTTAATAATGAAAAATCAACAAAAAGTAGACGATCCAGTCGGGCTGACAAGAAATTACACAAAATAGTAGAAATATGGTTTAATTCAAGGATAAACAATTGTTTCAAAACTAAAACAAATTTCCAAAAAAAAAAAAAACGATCCAGTCGGATTGCTAAGAAATTACACAAAATAGCAGAGATGTGACTTAATTTTACGATAAACAATTGTTTCAAAACTAAAACAAACTTCAACAAAATAGACACGATCCAGTCGGATTGCCAAGAAATTACAAAAAATAGCAGAGATATGACTTAATTCTAGGATAAACTATTTACTGAAAACTAAAAAGAAATAACGATCCAGTCTGATTGCTATGAAATTACATAAAAATCACATTATGATTTAATTCAATGATATACTATTAAGTTAAAAAGCAGCTGAGACAATACCATCTTGTTTCAGGTTGTTCGGAAAGGAAGACTAAGGATGAAAATCGAGGGCGGGGGAAAAGGAAGGAGAAAATATAGAGAGAGCTCCTCCTCCGACAAGACTTGAAAAATGGAAGGGGTGGGCAATGGTCCTTTTATTACGGTGAGACCTGCTCAGCTGAGAATTAATACTGTGTTTATGATGTATATTCAGTTATCCTACGAAACATTCTGTCGTGTGATCATGTACTGCCACGTCGTGTCAAGATTATAGACGGCACGTTTCATTCGGTTTTTGACAATTTTATCTAAATAATATTTTCCTTTTTATAAAAAAAAACCCTAAAAACATTTTACTTTTCATAATGGCACTTGTTAAGGCTATGTAGAATAAAAATACATCTTTTGCAAGGTGTTTTTATATAAAAATGTATTTCTTTTAATAGTTTTACTTTTGTTAAAATTTTAGGTAATGCGAAATTAGAATTTAAGTAACGTGTATCTAATATAATTATCTATTTTTTAAGTAATTAATTTAAATTATCCATAGATAAAATCAAACATCCAAAATTTTAAATCAAATTAATAGATCGAACGGATTAAATCAATTGTATCATTCCCTTTTGCATACCCCTAGGAGATAGGCAAGCAAAGGCAAAGGGCATGTATGAAAGGGTGTTCAGAATTGAATTGAAATTTGATAAATTTAGCAATTTTGATGAGTTGACTGAGATTTTGGTTGTGAGCTGATATTGTTCCTTTTATGTTTATCAACGATATTTATTCGATCGATGTTAGTTTAGGATGTGAAATGGTGAAACTATTTGGACCCCTTAGGCAGTGTTGTTGCTTTGAATTATTTTGAAAATTAAAATTCAAAAACCGTACAAATCCAATCCAAACCAAATCAAACCGTATTTAATTGGATCGGATCGGATCGGATCAGATTTTTTTTAAAAACATCTAAATCGATCTAAATCACAAATATTTATACTTTTAGATTGAATAAATTTTTAGCTAAAAATCGATCCAAACCGACCGCGAATAATCTTACATGTATGTAAAGAAGGGTTAGATGTACACACCTGGTAAGGGTCCACTTCCTTTTAAAGATTCGCTACCGTCCCTTCTCTGTCTCCTCGTCCATCTAACGCTACCCTTTCCCTTTCTTTCCCCTTTTACCAAATTCTATTATTCATAGTTCGCCACCGCCGCCGCCTCCCAACTACTTTCTTCTATTTTTCTTTTCCCTTTTTAAATATTTGGTTATACTATTTTTTTTAGAAATTCAAAACTACAAATTGGTATTTTATGGTTAATAAATATGGACATTTTTAGAAGGATAAACCACGTCATTTATGCTAATTATTTTATTACTCTTATTTTAGTTATTAAAATTTAATTTTTTTTAATTTAATTACTTAATTTTTATTTGTTTTCTATTTTGATCACTGCACCATAAAATAATTAACGGTGTTATTATATCATAATAAACATTTAAACCACATAATTTTAAATCTTATAAAAAATTAATTTTAAATTAAAATAACATCGTTTTGATGTAAATAAAATTTTTATTTTCATTCAAATTTTCTCTTTTTTCCTCTCTTTTTCCTTCATTTCTCTCTTCATTCCGAATAAACTCATGTTTTGACCACCACGTCGGTCGTCACTCTAACTATCTTCGGGGTCTTTGGTTACCAGACTGTTGAGGGATGGGTGCTATCTGAACTTGAGTTCTATGTAGACACGATTAGACACACAATTGTTACTCTTGAATTTCATTTGGCTAATCAATATTTGTAGTGTATATTTTATTACTTGGTTAGATTGGGGCCTCAAGAGCATTATGTACTTTGAAGATGATTACAGTTTGGACAGTTTGATATTTAAAAAATAAATTTTAAAGAGAGAAAACGGTGGAGGGAAGAAGACTCGAATACCATTGTTCAAGGGTATTGTGTGGAGCTAGGGGCGCTCAACGGACAAGGAAGTCCTCACCCACTTGAATCCTCAACTAAAAATCTATTAGCACTCATTTTTCTCAATTACACTGGATGTAAAGGTAAATACAAACTGGAGACATCACATCAATCTCGATCGAGAAAATGCAGACTGAAGACTTATTATCATATAAACATAGATTTTACCGCTGAAGCTCTACCGGTGGTGCATGGTGTTCGATTTGTCTCTTATTTGGGTTTCCAAAGAATTTTCAACGCAGAGACAAAGGATTTAGTGTGATTGTTCATCTCCTCTCGTTTTATTTTCACACCATAAAATGATAACACAGACACCGATTCTGCTCCAGTGGAGGTGATGATAGAGAGTGAAAAAGCATAAAAGATAATAGTAATAAAATGTTTATTGATACTTGTCGTAACCGCCTTTTGGATAGGTCTGAAATTACACTGACTTAATTGAAACATGTTAGAGCCGTTACTGATTATTTTTTTAAAAAAATTAGGTTGATCGGACACCTTAATTTAACATCTTACTTGATCTGCATTTTACCAGAAATATGTCGGATTCGAGAGTCGATTACAGTCAAGGAATGATTAGCACCCTTTTACTGCCCTTTCGATATCAAATTAATTTATCGGTTGTCTTAATTGCGAAATTTTAAAGTTAAATTGAAATTTAAAGATTCAATTCGAACTAATTACTTTTGATCGATTAAAATTGTCCATAAAAAATCAGAAAAATATTAGATTGTGAAATAAAATATATAAATAATTTACAAATTTTTAAAAAGGTTAAAAAAGTTTAAAAATAGTAAAAAAGGAACATGTTAAGATTTTTTAAAGAGAAAATAATTTCAGTGACCGAAAATGTCTTATAATATACGATTTTAACCAACTTTTTTTGGATTTGCGAAAATGACCAACAAATTCGCAACGCAATTTCCAATTTCGCAACACAGTTTCCAATTTTGCAACGTGAATTTGTAAATCGCAACCCATAAGTCAAATTCACAAAGCGCGTTTATTTTCGCAACGCGGATTTTATTTTTGAAACCGAAACACAATATTAATTTCGCAACACAAATGTAAACAGTATAATCGCAACTCATAACCTAAAACCCAAAATCACAACTCAGTCCCATCTCCATCTCTCACTCTCTACAACGACATCCGTCCCCATCTCCGGCGAAATCCGTCCCCATCTCTGACGAAATCCGTCCCAATCTCCAGCGAAATCCATCTATCTCCATCTCTCAGAGCCACCCTCACAACCATTCATGGCCACAAATGGAAAATCAACCACCGAGGGTTAGTTTTTTTTAATTATTTTTATTTTGAAAATTTTGTATTATTATTAGATTTTTCATATTTAAATTGATGATAAATTTACTGGTAATTTCAATATATATATTAACCATTTCACTTAGATTGCTTAGTAAATTCATTCGGTTGTTGTCAATACTGCTAAACTGTTTAGTCTTTAACCCTGTGAAGTTAGTATTTGTCTTTTGGTTGAAGTAATGCAATTCATTCAAGTTTCAATTTGTAGAAGAATTTTGAAACTTAAATTCGCAACACGAAAATGAAATTCGCAACACGAAAATCTCAAGCGAATTTAAGTTTCATAAACTACTCTTCTTCTGCAAATTGAAACTTGAATGAATTGCATTACTTCAACCAAAAAACTATGATAGAATAATGACTTGGGTGAATACCGTGCTAGTTTGAAACATATTTGGCTTTGTTTTCACTGTTTAATGTCATGTCTGTTTATAGTGTATAATTTGTAGTTTTTGGTATATTTAACTTGGTACGTTTATTGTTTTTGTTAGAAATTTTTTTGGCTTCATTGACTCTAAGGAATACATTAAGCCTAGCCACTACAATAGCGTCGACACTTACACCTGTACAAAGAAAATTGTTTGAGGATACTTGCTTTGAGCCATGGCTGAAAGTACAACATCCAGGTGGAGATGCTATATTGGCCCATTTGTTTCTTCAGACCATGACTAACGATCTACCCGAGAGGATACAACATGGTGATGAAGAGATATGGTTTCATTTTCCACCGGCGTATACTTGTTTTGGGTGGGAGGAGTTTTGCTTAATCACTGGTCTACGTTTCGGACACGATGAAGTAGGTTGGTACACTAGTCATATCGTCTGCCCATCATGGTTATCTCGGGTTTTTCCTGAGCTGGCAAAGGCGAAGCCCAGTTTACACGTCGACGGCTTGAAAAGATTACTTCTTAAAGATGGTTTTACTCGGATGGATGACCTTGTTGTTGTCTGAGTATGCCTTTTATTACTTTTGAATGCCGGTTTTTTAGGCAAAGAGGCCAGACAACCTATTTCTGAGGACCTAATATTATTGGTAGAGGTCCTAAATGCATGGAACGTGTTTCCCTAGGGTTCATATCTATGGAAAGCTAGCTGGAAAAAGTTGTCGTCTGCCTTTGATGACCGTCTTAGTTTGCGTGGTGATGGTTCCAAATACACTTTGGTAGGCTTTATTTGGGCCTTTAAGGTAAGAATTTCTATATAATGTTTTCAAAATTATAATTAATTATTTAACAATTACTAATGTTTGTGTATTATATTGTTTGTAGATTTGGATATTTGAGGCTTTTCCCAGTATGCAGACATATGCAAGAAAAAATTCAAATGATATTCCTAGGGCTATTACCTGGAGGAGGATCCGGCTGCTAGATTGGGAAGATTTACTACCATATACGACGATGAATGATGTAAGTTAACACAAATACTACCTTATATAAACAAGTTATTACTAGTAGACGTTTGACTTTGTTTGAGCTTTTATATTGTTAGGAGGCAAACTATCCATTACAGAGGCTGAAACCCACAGAGGCTGAGCTTGCCACTGATTGGTGGCAAGCTAGTAAGCATTTTTTTGATGGGACGGATGATGAGCACCCCCCACTTCGAGAGCCATCACCTGATCGAGCTGATTATACACCTCCACACCGAGAGTCATCACCTATTCCATCACATCATTGAGCCTCTTCTCCACCATCACCTCATGATAGGTGACTGACAAAGATGCCACAACATTTATCTCCCCGTTCTCCACCTCCACGGGATGAGTTAGGGGAGTTACATGATGAGGTCAGTGCTTTGCGTGATGAGGTCGATACTTTACATGGAGA